CTAGATAGATTAGGTAGATAGATTAGGTAGATAGATTAGGTATATAGATTAGGTAGATAGAGTAGATAGATAGATTAGATAGATAGATAGATTAGATAGATAGACTAGATAGATTAGATAGAGTAGATAGATTCGATCGATTGGATAGATTAGATAGCTAGATAGGCTAGATAGATAGATAGCTAGATAGCTAGCTAGATAGCTAGATGGATAGATAGATAGCTAGCTAGACAGGTAGATAGATAGGCAGATAGGTAGGCAGGTAGATAGATACTCCACACAATGTAGATTGACAGATGAATGAATAAATACATATACATAGATAAACTACATTGGTCAGATTAGATTAAAATTAGATTGGATACCTAGATAAAATAGATGAAGGTGCAAAGATAGACAGAGAGATGGAAAGAGCGAGAGTCAACCACACATGGGTGTGCATACATTGCATATTTGCATGTACGGTCAGTTTCTGCTGTTGACCAGATTTCAGAAGCATTCATTCTAAGATTGCATCCCATGGCTTTCCCTGATTCGAGCTCTCACATTGTGTTTGTGACCACAGTAGCCATTTTCGTCATTCAAGTCAAACACATGTTCCATACAAATCGTTTGTGGCGTTCGCGCTATGGTGAGGAGAGTTCCAGGGTGTTTGCATGTTGTGTGCGCAATTTGGACACTTGGCTTCGAAACCAAATCGCAAGTAGTTGAAACGGTGGAAATCAATGACTCTTCGAAAGCGGAAGAGCAGCAGGCCATCTTGGCCAAAGCTCCCAAGGATGCCGAGTCTGCCACGGCGTCAAACGGTCTAAGTCTAGAGGTGAGCGCTTTGCCAGATGCTCTGCCACGCGCTTTGCGAAGCACTTCATCCAGCCAGAGCAAGAACTTCATCTCCGCTCAGTCAGACTTGGAAGTCGGTCTGGGCTCCCTGGGTCAGCTCCAACAGCTCCAACAGCTCCAACAGCTCCAACAGCTCCAAGGTCTCGAAGCTCAGTCAATGCGGCAGCTCGAGGATTCCAAGAATTTTGACTCGAACCACAACCTGGCAGACCTGGCAGACCTGGCCTCTCAGAACAAAGCTTTGATGGAGATTCAGCTGAAATACTTTTTGAACATGAGCTGTGTACCTTTACACATTTTACACATGTTTAAATCATGTTTATATGATTTTGCATGAAATATATGTATGAATATGAAAGCATGTTTAGATATGTTCAGAACATATAATTGCTCTGGTGTGGGTTCACGAAGTTTAGCATCGCGAGAGTTGAGGGCACGTTTGCCTGCCGCCTTTGCTTGTCGACATCAGGAGTCCATTCCTGTCCAGGGGATTCTTGGCTGAAGCATGCGCAAGACACAAAAGAGAGCACAGAAACAGCTAAGTTGGCTCTTTGCACGTGCTTTGTCATAAGAGTGCTGAGTATAGCATCCTTGGTATGTTTATGCACGTTTTGTGTACGTGAGGCTACAGGGAATCAGCAAGCTGGTAGACATTTGGATTTTCTGGTTGCTAAGGACATGGGATTCAAAGACCAAATCTCCTCCAAGTCCGAGTTGTCCCACATGCTGCAGAGGCAGTCTGAAGGAAGTGCCACTTGAATTCAAGAAAAGACAAAGGACAGTCAGAACCAGGTGATGTAGTTCAGAGTTGCCTTAATCCGCAATCAAACCAAAGTATCCAGCATTATTTGGGGTTCCCAAGATTCAAGTGGGAAGAATCCGAAAAATAGTATGGAATTCCTCAACAATCGATCAAGATAATGGTGCATGCTGGTGGACCTCGTAGGCTGCCATCAAAGTGCTTGAGTTGTTTAGGTCCATGCAGTATGCGAATGGCATGAGTTCAGCAGTTCCAAAATGTTTCAAACTCATGACTCCGTTCAGACCATTTTTTGTGCGGCTGCAGCGTGGACTGAGGTGTCCTGAAGACGTTCCGGAGAGCGATCCCTGTGCTTCCGCATCGATTTGCACTGGCTTCCACAGGCAAAGCTACAGGATATTAAAGTTTAATTAAAGGATGCCAAGAATTCTTGATTCCCCAGTATTCCCCAGTACTGCTACTAACCGAGACTTTACGGTTGTAGAAAATTCATCAAAATGATTTAATTCATTTTAATTCTATCATTTCAAATCTGAAGAAGAAGAAGCACATTTACTGTATATGTTGAATATTGTTGAACAGTTTCAGAAAGAAGTTCCAATATGTTCAATAGAATTCAACTCTGTTCTCTGCAGGTGTTTTGGTGCAAAGCGAGGCTTCCTTCAATGCCAGCCTAAGCCAGACTCTGAAGTCCTGTGCCAGACAGGGCCAAACTGTTTGCCAGAATGCCTTGGAAAGAAGCTTGGAAATGATGATGACGATTGCGCCTTGCAGCCCGTCAACAAGTGCGAAGGCTATGTTTGGCGTAGGGGTCGTGCGACTCAGTGCAGGGTGAAGCCTGGTGGGAATCCAAGTGGCGCAGATATTTGTTCAAATGCCCATATTTGCGGAGAGAGGTAACACTGAAGCATCGCAGTAGCACTGGGTATTGCCATATTGCCGGTATTGCCACTGCATCTTTAGAACTTGAGCTTGACAAAACAAATTGCGCTTGCAAAACGTTGAGCTGGATCTGCTTGTTGTGAATATGGGTACAAACAAAACTAGTGAATACTGGCGCATAATATGCGTTTGTATGTTTTTGTGTTTTTCTTATTCCTATCCCTTTTCCTGAAGTTACTCTTGGCATCTCTTGGCTCTGGGTAGTTTATTGTGCAGGCAAAAATAATCGGAAGGACTGCAAAAGATTGCCAATCCGTACCTGATCATGAAACAAGGTCCGCAATCCATTTCCGCCCATCAAGCACCCATTTCAAACATTCAAGCCATGCAAGTCCCAAAACAACCCATTTTGAATTGTCTGTTTCTTGGGGTACAAGCCGGAATCAATGTGGATACAGTGTCACGGAGAAAAGTGTGTCAAGACATGTCAAGACATGTCAAGACATGTCAAGACATGTCAAGACTCAGTTCAGGCTTAATGAAACTAGCTCTGGGCTGTGCGCATGTTCCATAGCTAAACAGCTCATGTTCCAACTTCGCTATGTCGCGTCTTTGTGGCCAGAAAGCTGGACGGAGGCATGCCCTGTGCAATTTGTTCCAGATGGCGCATGTTTTTGCTCATTTTTGCTCATTAGATTGAAGACGATTCAATATCATTCATATGATTCAATACTCCAGAAGTCAAATTCGATCTGTGTTTGTGAATATGATGGATGAACATTACTGTCTTCGATATGTTTATCCAACTGTCCATCCACGCTTCTATATCAGTCCATCAGTCCTATTCATTCATATCTCCGCGTGCACCCATGAATCTATATCTATCAATTTGTTTGCCTGTCTAGATGTCTAGGGGTGTGTGGGTGTGTGTGTGTGTGGACCATCTGAAAAGATGTAAAACTTCCTTTGTTTTGATGATGGTTGTTTTTCGTGGTTTTCGCTTTTGAATTATACTTGCAGGGGGGCAGTGAATCTCATTCCATCCACTGCCCAACGAAGACGGTGGTTTGAGATTGTGATATCGGGACTGATCATCCCGACGTACCTGCAATTTCCAATTTTCAGTTTATCGTCCATGGCTACCGGCTAAGCCAAGAACCGGCATGTCGTTTTCAGTTGCATCAGGACCTTCCTCAGAACTTCTGTGTCAACAGGTTTCAATACACTGTACGGTTTTCGCAATCTGAATTTTTGCCGTTTTCGTCAGATGGAACAGTTGCTTTTTGCAAGGACAAAGAAAGAAATCATCTTTATTGGTTTTCCTGCCATGTCATCCAACTCTCGCCTGTCAGACTTTAGGGGGTTGTTTGTGCACGCCCGATGCACTCCACAACAGTAATTCGGTAAGATATTTCTGAGCAAGTGTGTCATTCCTGCTGTTTACGTCAAGTTGGCAGGAACCCTTCGGGGAAAGCCTTTCCAGGCTAATTGACAGTAAAACGATGTCTGAATTTACACTTTTGAATTAGTAATTCGTTTAAGTAAAGTGAACCGCTGGCCTTTTTTCATTGTTTCACATGTCGGTCGGGAAGTGTGTGTTGAACAACTGGCCGCTGTACCGGGCCTTCTTCCTTTTCGCTGACTCGCATAGTTGGAAGCCACGACAACAACCTCCCTGTTGCTCCAAGAGACTGCCCGCAGCCATTTGACATGAACAGGTAACAGGACATGCTTTACAGGTGTGGTCTCTTCCTTTTGGTTACTTTGGTGAGGTTGAAATTGTGCACGTAATTCAGGGGTTGAACACGTCAGCTGTCCAGAGGGTTGTGACTTGAAAGCCGAGGGCCTCGAGCCTTATCACGAATACTGCATGAGTTGTGGATGCATCAAATGTTAGTGATTTTACCATTATAGTGATCGTCTGACAGTGCTGCCAGACCTGTCAATTTTGGCCATGTTTCCTGGTCGTTGGCCAAACCTTTCGGAGAACATGTGGAACTTTGGCTGGTCAGCGCCTGCCTTTGCTCCACCTCAACCTGCAGCACAATTTGGTCAATTTTGTGTAGGTGATATGATGAACCAACAGTCTCAAGCTCAGTCACAAGCTCAGACTCAAGCTCAGTTGGCTCAGTTAAGGGAACAGAATACACTATTGAATCAACAATTGAATTCCCAAGCTCAGACCCATATCCAGCAACTTCAGCAGCTTCTCCCATTCCATCAGCCTCCTCAACCAACCGCATCTCATCAGACTCCTCCATCAGTACCTGATCCACCAACGGTGCCACCAGTCCAAACACCTCCTGCTCCAACTCCATCTCAACCCGTTCAACAAGGGCCCAACATCACTTTCAATCCAGAAGAGATGATTCAACAGATGCGTCACACAGTGGAATCGGGCATGCAGGCGTTTATGGAAAAGACCAAAGAAAGGTCTAAGAGTCCTCATCCAAGTGTGACACAACTTCCACCAGCGACTCCAGTCGCAGAGTCTCCACCTGTCGTCCCGTTACCACCACTTCCACGGCTTCATCGCCGTTCCAGGTCACGGTCAAAACACATTCCAACTCAAGTGGACAAACGTCCAATTTCGATCCCGAGAAGTCCAAGTCGTCACAGACGTGATAGCCGTCCACGTCACCGTCGACGACATTCCCGCTCACGTGATGACTCCATGCCTCCAAGCCGTCCCCAGTCAGTCACTCTTCGATCCAACTCCCCACGTCATCGTGAAGTACCACATCAGCGAGATGAACATCGTCGACGTGATGATTATACTTATCCATCCACTACCCATCAACCTGAATCTTGGAACGACCATCACTACGAACAACCTTCAATCTCCGACAAGTCGGACTACCATGACCACTCCACCTACCATGACCACAGCTCCACCAAAAAGTGGAAGTCCTGGCAGTCTTGGAAAGACCAGTCCAAGTCTCAATATCACACACATCCCTCCGGATGGGTCGACTATTCAAAGCCGTACTACAAACATCAATCTTATGATGAACCGCCTTCCAGATATCCCTCAAAACCTTTGACGGCATTCTCGCTGGAACAGCACTCACACAACCATGGCAATCATCCCAATCGCTCTGGTTCTGCTCAGTCCCGAGCTTCCACTCTTCCACCTGGTCATATTGCCATCAACCTTCAAGAAGGTTCCAAAGAGGAATGGGCTCGTCAAGTCAAACATGCTCTCACCCATCCCGATCGGATGAGAGCGGCAAATGAACTTGATGCCAAGGAGCTTCCACAACCATCCACGAGTATTGTCCAAGAGCACTTCGAGGAAGCGATGGAAGAACTGAATAAAGTGGATTCTAGAATCCCAACAGACATTGGCAGGAAGGCCATACATTTATTGTCGAGTACTGGCATCCTGACAGATTTTGATCTTTCCGCATGCTATGTTCGAGAACTTCCTCAAACAGGCATGCTGGCCCTGGTCATGCCGTTACCAGAAATGAGCCGGTTTCAAATGCCCCCACCCTTTGGCGGCCAAACCCTCATCACATGGGCACTTGGCCATGGTACGACCCTCAGTACCTCCCAGTTGATTCTCATGGAGGGCAAGATCCGACCAGCAAACTGGTCCTATCACAAAAATCCACAGCGATGTCACATGCCCACCTTTGGAGCCTTCTACATAGGCCGACAGATTGCGAATGCTGATAAGAACATCCCATCATGGGCAGAACAGGAACTGCTCGATTCTATGGAGAAGAAAGGAAAAGGCCAGCAAGAGATCACCATTGGGGCGATCTATAGAGGATCACTGGAACATCTTTCACTACGCGCTGGAGGGAACGAGAAATGTCAGCTCAATGTAGCTAAAAAGGGAATCGTCACCACTCCTGAGAAGTACACGATTGCTCACAGCTACCACGTGGGGCTGAAATTCATCGCGATCAAATGGTCAGACCTCAAGGATGATGACAGACTGGCACGACGCCCTATTGATCTGCGGGACACCGACTCTGAGGACAATGTCAACTATCGAGCCAACGAGGAACGGCGTGCAGCCAGACATCGACGTTGAGCACTTAAGACAGCACTCTCAGATCGTGTATCTTTAGCTTATTTGTCCTAAACAGGATCATGACTTCTTTCTAGGGATTTCCTGGACAAACGCATTGGTAAAAATGCTCCATTGCAACAGCTGACCTGCCCATTCAACTTGTGTTTCACCTTGATGGATTTCATTTCTTTTGATCAGGTTTGTTTTGTGGGTTTGATGCACGGACCAACTTTGCTTGAAAGCGTCAATGTACCATACATTTGATGATCCATTTCATCTCATCTTGTCAATCGTTGCAACCACCGCAGCCTTTTTGATCCATCAGTAAGTTTTGAGTTGATCACGCCACTATGGCAGAGTCTGATCGATCCCGCTCACCAGCTCGAAATCGCGCTGAACCTGACCCTCCTCGTCCTCCTGTACGGCAAGATCTTCCTTTCTTTCCTCGATGGTGTGGTCCCATGCAATCAGCGATCTGGCACTCTCAACAGATGTTACGACCTCAGTCCAGACCTCAGTTTCAGCCTCAGTTCAATATACGCCAGCCGGGACCTTATATGATGACTACATCAACAGATCCATCGGCTTCGATGACCACATGGCCAAATCCAAGATTTCCATCAGCCAATCCAAGATTTCCACCTGCACCTCCTTCGTCACCACCACCAACACTTGCTTATCCACGTCAATCCAGATCAGTCACTCCACCATGTTCACCTACGATTCCATGTGCTCCAACTCAACTGGCTTCGCCCAGCACTCCATCGATCCCGTCGTCACAACCTCGCCATTCCGGCACTCCATTCTCCAAGTCACCAGGGGGACAGACAACCACTGATGAAAGTCGCACATATGGCTTCGATCTTAACCCTCACTGGCAAGAAGATCAAGACCATTACGACAATCAGAAGATCAACGGTTTGACCTTCCCTCGATGTATTCGACCTTCAGCTTTTACACAAAAGCTGGACATCGAGGGATGCGACCCTTTGAA